AATACTATCTGATCTAGATTTTTAAACCTGCACAAACATAAAAACACACTAGGTACAAGAACTCGACGACATCTGTGTTGAAACTACAAAAATAAATACTATCTGATCTAGATTTTTAAACCTGCACAAACATAAAAACACACTAGGTACAAGAACTCGACGACATCTGTGTTGAAACTACAAAAATAAATACTATCTGATCTAGATTTTTAAACCTGCACAAACATAAAAACACACTAGGTACAAGAACTTGACGACATCTGTGTTGAAACTACAAAAATAAATACTATATGATCTAGATTTTTACACCTGCACAAACGTAAAAACACACTAGGTACAAGAACTTGACGACATCTATGTTGAAACTACAAAAATAAATACTATATGATCTTGATTTTTAAACTGCACACGTGACTAAACTAGTTTCCCTTGGCGATATAATTAATTGATCAATATCAGGTTTTCTACACTCACCTTGCAAATGCATTCTTCACCTGTATTTACGTCTAAACAGCGATGTAAGGTTGTTCCCTCGATCTGTTCAAACAATATGTAGTTTCCAACAGCTCTCGGTGTAAAAGGCTCGTGTGTGTGTGAAAAAGATGGTGGGGTTGGGGGTTGAAGATTAGGGCTAAGACTTCCCGAACTCTCCTGTTGCTTACTAGCGATCCGTTCTCGTTTATGTTGAGCAGGCTGTAAATTTAGGTGTGGCAGTCGTGCAACATTCATGTGGAATGAAGAAAAAATTAATTTTTCATAAACAGTGAAAAATAAGCACTTATTCACAGTTTTCTACAGTTAGATATTTCCATTTCTATTGTTATTTAAGCTGGCCTAAAACTTGCGTTTATCTTTACATATGATGGTAAGTTATGCCTGTTTCATCCCACAAGTTGACTTGTCTTCAAAATGGTAAAAATTCAAATCCCTTCACACACACTTCCACTGTCGTTCTCCAAGCCTGGCTAAGATCTAGTTGCGTATTTTATATATTATTCAACTCCATGGATAATCTAAAATAACAAATATTCATTATTAATTAATTTCATCAAATTTACACATCTGCAGCTATTCCATGAATAAAATGTTAAGTTTCTACAAATGTAAAACTGCTTATAACAAAAAAACAACAACAACAGAATACTGGTTTTGCTTTTCATTACTTTTGTGGTGGCAATTAAAGTTATTAAAGAAACACTTGTTTTATTTGTAACAAAAGTGATTATTTAAATTGCATTAAAGTTCCTGAAAACCAAGTGGTATTATACCTGAAACAAACCCATTCGGGTAATAACATAACGTTTTGGAACAACATGGAACCACGCGTTTCCAACTTTACAATGTTTAGTTTATGCTGTCTCAAAAACATTTGATTTAGCTAAGAATAAGGCCACAGTATTAACAGATACGTTAAGAAATTATCAAACTGTATTTAATCATAAGATTTTATACAATATGAAAAAAGTCTCAGTGAATAAAAAAAAAAACGACGCGAAAAAACGAATTAAGTTCGTATTATCGAAAGACGCAAGGCTAAAGATGATAGTAAAATAAAAAATACTTTAAAGTTATATTTCTATAAAATTAGTATACCAAGTAGGCAATACCCTAAAACGTATATCAAGTTCATGAAAATATAAGTAGTTTCATATTTCACTATCTTTTGGGTCATTTTTTTTTTTCAAGAACTTATCTTAGTCTTTTGCTATTATTATTATTATTACTTACACCATACCTACTAATTCTAAGACTAAATTGATTTCACTATATCTAAATAATAATTTATAATCGGTACAAGTAAATACAAAATTTAAACATACAAAGCTTTTGATTGAAATTTTTAAAAATTTAATGCCAAACTTCTCGAAACCTGCCATAAATTGTTTGAAATGCATGTCTAAATTACCAGCTAACAAGTGATGCTTCTACAACGTTGCTGAATAGTTGTGCGTTGGTAAAACTGACAACCTCATGCATTATATGTTGTGACAACTTTGTGGCACTGTTAGACGTTAATGGTGAATATATATATTAATGGATCTTACTAATGCTCAGCTATTCAGTAACGTTGTAGAAACGCCATGTGCTAGCTGGGTTAATAGCGCACTAAAACTAAAACTGTGTAAATTTACATAAACATAATTAATTTTTTAACAGATTTCTATTTTTCACTTAAACAAACATTCATCAAATGTACTCTTCTTAAATTTATGGGAATCAGGAATAATATGACAACGCAATAGATCATAGACATGCTTTTAAACAGTTCGCAGTTTAAATATTTTTGCTGATGTCAAAAGTGCTCGAGTGAGGCATTATACTTATAGTAGTTGCATATTATTAGCCTAATGTACGACGCTTTGATAATGCTTAAAATATAAAATACACACTTACCATTCACTTGTTTCTGAATAAGAGAGGCTAAATTTCTTGTTAGACACTTTTAAAAATTACATCACTCAGTATACTGGCTAAATATTAAGGACGATACACCTAATATTAGGCCAATCCCATTCAGAAACGTTGCACACATGCCCCTCTCACACAAACGACAAGGCCATCTGGACGAGAGACGCAAGTGACTGCGTAGTTAGTTGTAGTAGGCAACATATTTTTGCAAAATACATGTGTGTGTGTGTGCATTCTTGTAGTTCTAGTAACTTATATATCTAAAATGCATATAAATTTTATTTTTCAATATTTTAAGAAAATTGTCCCTCAAAAATTCTTGAAATAGGAACTATTTCGTACCAGAAGAAGACGCCGTATAACAGCTTATGAAGTCATTCAAGGGAAATGATCGTGCTTACGTAATACGTCAGCTGTATGTTATGCAAAACGTAAATAATATTTTGCTTCTTTGTTTGTAGTATTGACAGTTACAATATGTTTTAAAAATCAACCCATTTGTAATAAAATGTTTAAAAAGAGTAACTATAAAATTAATAACCACTTTAAATATTACTATAAATATACTTTATACAATGAAACAAATCAGAAGCTCGTTACAGCAAAACATTTTATGAGCGCTAAAATTGACAGTGAATCTTTGTTTGTTTGTAGTTAAGCGCAAAGCTACACAATGGGCTATCTGTGCTCTGCCCACCACGGGTATCGAAACCTGGTTTCTAGCGTTGTAAGTCGATAGACATACCGCTGTGCCACTGGGGGCGCAAGTGAATCTTATTGTCAGAAAATCATAGTGTTACAACAGCGGAAGTCAGGCGACGCTGAAGGCATGC